CATAAAAGATAGTAGGTATCTCATTAATCAGTTCTAATTATTCTAATGATATCATTTATATGATATCACAGATCTCACGCCATATAGTTATTCAGCAGATAATAAGCAATAAAACTTCAACCTATGTTTTTGATTATTATTATCTTCTACCTGAATTCGCAAATTCGTGCTTTTGAATTAATGCCAGAGGAAGTGTTACATTCCAAATATAATATTTGCTTGCCAGTTACTGTCCCATCCTGCAGTTGTGGCTGGAATTATCAGATGATCAATCAGAGATATTTTGGGATGAAATCTCATAAACATTTGTATTTAGAACGAATACCACAAAACCTAATCAACAAAATATATCATCTCCATAACTTACTACTACTTCTTCTTTACAATGTATGTGCACGAGAAATGCATGCGTTGGTGTAAGCGCATGCAAAATTGCAGTAAAATTGTTATTGTTAAAGCAATCATGCCAAAATATAATTCATACTAAACGATGCCACAACAACCACCAACAAACATATCATGCAGTGCAGCATCTATCAGTACTAGCATACATTATCCTACAAAAGTATTGATTATTTCGGGAACTATCACACCAAGAATCAATGATACTAGCAGTGAAAAGACGACAAATTCAACACCATTCAATACCGCATGCAATTAGGCATGCGCATTGTTGTGTTTTCAGCAAAATACTCCAGTATCCTTTACCACGAACACCCTTGTCGTGCGGGAGAAGCTTGCGTGCCCTAAGGTTGCGAGCTATGCTGGCGATGGCAATTGCTATCGGTAGGGCCTTCCATATCAGATAGGTTTCAATTGAAGGGCCAAACAAAGTGTACTCACGGGCAGAATGGACTCGATAGTCTTCGAATAGTCATCCTAGGAGGACAATTCTGATTTCAAATCCAGGCAGATGAAGCTCGTTTAGCCCTGTAAGGCCATCCGTCTCAGAGAAGAATACTCTAACTAAACTTATGTCCTAAGGGCTTCGCTACCACCATCCAAGCTCGTTGGGCCTTGGCGCAGATGAACCTCAGGAGTAAAGGGTGAGACCAGTCCGTGTACAATGTCCCTCACTTTAAAAATCCACCGTGTAGGCTCGAAGGATACACCCACTTTTTAAAGTCATGTAGCGACAGGCAAGGACGAAACGGTAGGTGATAGGGTCCACTGGAAGCCGTAGACCTAACCCTATATGCAAGCGGTTCAGGACATTGATCGCTCGAGATTAACCCCGGAGATGACAGTCTTGTTCGGCAGCATCCTGAGCGACTAAGTGGCCTTTTTCAAAGAAAGTACTATTTGCTCCATACGGAGAGGGGTCTAAAAAGGGTGCATTAATCAAAGTTCATCTCTATCTCTATTCGGTTGATTAACCGCGGTCAAACAAAGACAAAAAAATCAAAGCATACACCTGCCTTCAAAGGTGTACATGAAAAACACTCGTGTGCTGGAATATCAAAACCATGCTTGATAATACGAATATAGAAGGTTGTTGAAAGTCGTTTTGCTCTAATTTCTCACGAACTATCACGATTGAATGTCGACATTGCTCTCTTAGTGAAGTTCGTTTCTATGAGGATTGTATCATCAATGAACATGGTACCGGTTATATACTCTATTGATCAAGAAGGCTTAAAATTAAAAGTCATCTTCCAGAACTCCATCACCTCCAAACTCGAAAATCAACCGACAGATCATTCCCATCGTATTTTCTCCCTACATAACAACAAATAGCAAATTGTTCCCTTCAGCATACATGCTCCAACTATGCAAGTTGACTCCATGGGAAAAAAAATAGATTCTATATCGACCTATGAAGGTCATAATCCTTGACGTTAGAGTTGGAAGTCTGAAAAGGTGTATTAAGCAAGCATGACACTTGGAAACTTCAGCGACAACGGACAGCTTCTGTTAAAGTTTTGTGCCGAACAGAAATTCACCATGACAAATATTATCTTTCAGCAGAGAG